TTACTTCCCATCTCTGGGTAGAATGGAATGAAAAAAGTGGTCCCTATGTCCTCCAGCAGCCTAAACCTATAGCAGGATAAATAAAGAAAACAGCTTAGTATAAACTAGCTATTTTATATATATGACAAAGGGACGTAGTGCCACGGAGCAGCATACAGTAAGATTATATATTGACAAATGACACAATATCTGCCCATCCCTGATTTACACAAGTTTTTTTTATTTATTTTAATAGCAAAGTGCAGAAGTTTTCCTTCACTTTAAATGAAAAATGAACCACGTTTCATTGATCTCTCATACCAATGGATTTATCCCTCTAGCTCTTTAAGAGAATCCTGAGAAGTTGTTTTTTTTAACCACAAAGACAACAGGAGAGATGGGTTAAATTATTTATTAATTAATGTTGATGTTCTGAATGTATCAGTAAAGGGGGGTTGTTTTTAGTATACAAATGAAAATAATTCTAAATTAATTTCTTTCTATATCCCTATAAAACATTTTACAGAGCATGCAAAAGGTTGCTGAACCCTGATCTTTTACATAAAATCTCGTTACGGAAATAGATTAAAATGTTTTCCCTTAATGTTATACAATGTGAGAAGAGTCAAGAGGCATGAATAGTTTTGCAAAGCAATGTGACCTATATGTGTTGATTTTGGGTAATCGTGATGAGACAAAGCAGCCAAAAACAGGAGCGTCCTGTTCATCTAGACGTGCTAGTCAAGGTTACACCCAAAGCCACAGACAAATAATCTCCACCTCATTCTGCTCCCGGACAATCCCTGGCCACTAATAAACACTGACAATGTCAAGTAGTGGAAAATAATGGAGTGTAGCAGTGACTAAATGTTATCAAATGTTGGCAGGTGTTTGGTCAGCCTCTCTCGGCTCAGAGAGGATTATGTTTACGGGTGCGCTCTGCGCTGGAGGCATTGTGAGAGGATTGTGACATTGTGCGGCTCCTCTTGACAAAACAGGACATTAAGGTCTGATTGGGGATATTTAAGGGACCTGACTCTTCTGTGAACTGTCTGCTGAGAACATCGCGTTTTTTTTTGTGTTGTTTTTTTTTTTCAGAATAATTCTCCTGACATCCGGAGCGTAGTCAGATTGTTTGGCTTGGCAACAGAAAAATCAAGCTTTAAGCAGAGCTCAAATTGGCCAAAATGCCCACTCTCTCTCTCTAAATAATGAGCAGGAAGACCTTTCCTTTTACTTCCTCTGGGCACAATCTGTTCAGTCCCCATTTAATCGGATAAATTCTGCTTATTTAAATGACTTATATTTAGCCCTGCTTTCTTTTAAATTCATCCTTCTTTTTCAGGCACAGCAGGATATGAGCAAGATCGTAATTAGTCGATTTTTGCAGATGTGAACTGAGATTTTTCTGTCTTCCAAGAAGTATTAGTACAGGGCTGCAGGTGCTCTCTGACATTTTCAATGAACCCGGTCCATACATGGTGCCTGTACCACAGAAGGTGTCATCTCTGCTGTCACTGTTATTAAGCATCACAGTTACGGCTGAAAATAGCCTCAGCCATTGCAGACTTTGTGTGTTTTATCTCTGGAAAGCGTGCAGAACGTGTTTTCTTCCTCTAGTCCCATCGCGCTCATAGTCTCCACCAGCAATTAGAACAGATCACCGCGAGGTACGGCTCTTCACGTGCCCCCAGATCCCCCGCCGAGTCAACTCAAGTGGTGCTCTCTTTGTTAGTAGAAAAACACTCTCGAAATAAATGCGTCACTGGTCGCTAAAAGTATTTCAAGTGGCTCAAAAACCCTGACAGAAAAGTCAAAGGTGTCAAAAACTGTCAAACGGCTATAGCTCCCTGAGCTTATTGACCTTCTCGCTTTTACACCCACTAAATCAGTGCGTTTTCACCTGACGGTTTTCTCTTTCTCTTGCCGGTGGGCCTTCCCAGACTGAAAGGCACAGCCCGCATTTAGGTCTGCGTTCCTGTCCCTCTCTGGATGGGGGGAAGACGAGGGCATCCGTCAGGATGACCCGATACCTGGAATCCTGGGGGGCAGCCAAACCCTTCGCCAACCTCCACCATCGAGACAGCATGACCGCAGACAATGGCAAGATCAACACCACAGTAGGTGATCTGTGTCTGTCTCGCCCTGTTTGCCTTCACCTCACCGGACATTGAATATGTTTCCTGTTCCAGGACGTTCCGATGGGGCAGTACTATTTCCAAAGACGAGAAAGGTGAGGCAGAGATTTTTCCTTTTCATGTCACACACAACAAGCATTCACACTATTTGGATTACAGACAATGTAAACAGTAACTTAAATGGGGTTTATTGTGACTAAATGGGATAATCCAACTGAAAGTAGTGCATAATTGTGAGGAGGAAGGAAGTAAAGATATGTTTGTTTTTCTTAATGTGTGCATTGGTATTCACCTTGTGCTCTAATGCTATTGAAGTCTAATTTTGTCTTAGTGCATTGATCTTTTGGGGGAAGGCCTCAGAGATCAAACTTTACCATGAAGGCAAGGCAAGGCAAAGGCAAGGCAAATTTATTTGTATAGCACAATTCAGTAAAAAGACAATGCAAAGTGTTTTACATGATTAAAATACAGGAAGATAAAACAGAATCAAAGCAAGTAGGAAAAAAAAAAAATAAACGAAAAATAAATAAATCAAATTAAAAATGCAGAAACAAAAAAAGAATATTAAAAACAGTTGGAAGTTTTTGTTAGATTACATTTATTTATTTGATGATTTTTTTTTTCCTTTTTTTTGTATGGAGAAGAAGAGGACTTTGTTTGAGCTAATTTTCCAGTATTTCATTTCTAATTATCTTTAAAGCTGTTAGCATTTGATCAAAAATTTCTCCTTGGGCAGTTGACAATTCCCCAGAACCTTGCCTTTTGTTCTACTACCATAGAACTGCAAAACCCTTCCCATTATCTACAGGTAATTTAACTCTGCCCGATATGCAATTTAACTCTGCCCGATACACACCAATCCTATGGTGCCAACCTGGATAACTGGGGGGGATCCCACTCTAGATTACCGACGTCTCAGTAAAATTAAGTACCTTCTTGTGGCACCTACAACCTTCCTCTCACTCTTAGAGAGAGCCTCACGTTCCTATGCGAGGTCTTTTGGAAAGCTGACAGGTCAGAGATAAAGTTATAGGGAAGTAGAAAGCTGGACTGAAAGCATTTCAAGCTTTGGACGATTCATACTTCAACTGGCACCACTGTTTTCCAGAATCATTCAACAGGAAGCAGCCAAAAGGCCGATGGTTTCTTTAGGAGTGGTAGAGAGATTTAAACCTCAGGTGGGAGACTCAGTTGTCAGGACAAGAATGCCTATAAAAGGGGACCAGAAGAAAACTAAAGCTTAAATGAAGTTATAAGAAGTAGTGTTTGCAGAACCCAGGTAGGAGATAGAGAAGTCAGACCAGATTAACATTAACTCTTCTGCAGAACAATTTAAATAGCAATGTGTGGGTTAGAATTAAGACCACCTCCTCATTGTCTAGCATAGTGGTGGTAGGCTTATGCAGTGGGAATTTTTGATTTACCAATGAATGGAATCTTGTTGCGACAGATGGACTTTTAAACATGGAACTCTTCAAAGAAATAAGAAACAGGGTTAGAAGTTTATCTTTGATCAGGACAACTACCCTGAAAAATGCTGCCAAAGCTGCCATATGGGTGTGTATGCCAAAGCCTATTCTTGTGGTAGAAAGTTTTAAAGCTATTTTGCAACACAGAACGTGAAAAAAGTCTCTAGATGTGCAAAAAAGGTAGACTTAAAAAGTGCGTTGAAAGATTGAAAGGATTACAAAATGCACACCACACTTTTCAAGATTCCCATCTTTGATTTTGCACAAACACCATGTTGATCGGTAACATTTAATCGCTAGGAAATTCACTGACATTTGTTGGCATTTCTTATCTTTGTCTGCCTTTAATGGCGTCCTTCTTTTCCTTAAACCCAAGATCCAAATCTCAGAGGAAGAGGTTTGAGGAGGAGCTCAACGAACGAATGATTCGCACTATTGATGGCATCAATGCACAGAAGTAAGCTCACTGTCTGCTGCTCTGTAACACTTGAACGTTTGTCTATGATAAGGCCTTGGTATGCAAAGGAAGATAAAAGTTAGTTTGCTACAGAACAGGAAGGAACTCTTTATGTTATCAATGCCACACTGCAAAAATGGTCTAGAAATAAGTGAAAATGTCTTCAATAAAGTGTATTTAATCTTAATAAGATATTTGCCAATGGAATGAGTATTTTTGCTCTTAAAATAGGATTGTTAGATGATATGCGCTTGAAATAAGACAATTGCTTTCTCTTATTTTAAAAGTAAATTGTCTTGTTCCATTGGCAGTGTCTCGCTTACCTCCTCAAAGAAAAAATACACTTATTTTAAGAAAATATTACTTATTCAGATCTTAATTTTTTGCAGTGCATGTTTGTTTTAGAGTCCTTTTAAAAAGTTTTTCAGGCAGAGATGTTCAGGCAAATGTCAAAAAAGAACTAAAACACATGTTAAGATATTAATTAATGCTCCGTAGTCTATTTTTATATATATATATTACATTTGTGTTTTTTAATTATGTCCTACAAATCACTCTATATCCACTAAAAGGGCCTAAACTACATCTCTGCATGACTAAACTTAACAATCCCATTTAAAATGTTGTTCATGGAGATTCAATCTTAGATGCAACCAAGGCTAAAGCCTCACCACCTACACTGTCTCTGTTGGTGAACAGGGTATCAGGAGGAATGACTTTTCCTCTGCTCTCTCTGCTTCGATTGTGTTTCCAGACAGTGGCTGAAGTCTGAAGACATCCAGAGGATCTCATTGTTCTTTCACAACAAAGCTTTGGAGAAAGAGGTAGGCGAAAGTGCACCTAACTGCAAACAGCTTCATCCGCAGCGGAAACAAATCATTGGCATAATAGAGAATAAATAAACTATTTGTCACAAAGACTCTGCAGGCTTGTCAAACTCCCCGATCAACCTTCTGCACTTTGAAACTTTATCCTGAAGTTATTTTGTTCTTGTAAACAGTTGAGTTATTTTTTTTCCCCCCCCGCCTTCCTAAAGTTTTCACAAAGCTATAAAGCTGTATTGTTTGTGGGATTTTATCTGCTGGGACAACATAAAGTACCTTATTCTTTTAACCTCAGCCTTTTGATTCTAACCTCAGTATGATTTAAAAACATTTAATTTTTGACATTTTCATATATGCTGCGACTCCCTTTCTGTTACGACCGTTAAACGAGGCCGTAAAAGTTGTAAAATTGATTTCTAAGTAGAAACCATAAAAGTTGGGTGTACATTTGAAATCTGTCACCTTGAGTCAGATCTGCAGAATCAGCACAATCACTGTTCTAAAGGCTGATTTTAAATTGGATTATCTATCAGATTTAGGTCTGGACTTTCACCTGATATAGATTGTATATGATCTTCTGATCAGGGTTGTTGTCCTGTTAGAAAGTGCTGCACTTTTAAGCCTTCTACAGCCAACTTTCTTCTTTTATACAACTGTGAGAAAAGCTCAATACCGCCATGTTTCACTGTGGGAATCATACGTAGTTTTCAGCAACACAAAGGGCCTAAATAAGGAAACCTGAAATGCTTTTGCGCAAACAAAAAATGCATGAAGTAGACAGTGATCTACAAAGTCTGCACATATAATGGATAAGGCATTGAAAACCAGTCAGATTTCATCCTACTGAATGAGCTACTGGCTGTTTGGCAGTGGCAGTAAAAGAAATATAAAGTTCTAAACATGGAGAATGAAAAATTAGAAGAATTATAAATAACAGGAAAAGATAATTATGTAAATGTCAAATAATTTACAGTGCATTCTACAGTTAGCATCTCAAGAAGTTAAAGGATTAAAAATCACTCATGAAGCCTGAAGATGCTGACTAATTCTGCTATGTTCTGCCTGTCTGACAGACATTAGCCTGGGAAGGAGAAGCAATCAGATGTACGCTGTGATTAATCAACTAACAGCTGGGTTTACCTCCACAAACTCCTCATAACGCCCACTAAACCTGAACTACTGCTTATTATAAATGCAGGCAGCATAACTACTTACTTTGTATGGAGCCCATTAAGAAACAGTGAGGGAGAAAACATTCCCTCTTGCCATAAGTCTGCAATTGAATGCGAACACAGAAAAAAATGAAGTCCCACCCCCCCTCATCCTTACTTAGAATATTGCTTTAAAGGGCCTTTGTCGTGAAAAATCTACTTTTTCAAGCTTTTAACTATCTTAATGCTATTCATTCAACAACATTTTTTACAAAGTGGTGTTTCACTTCATTTCTGCATGTCTGAAAAAAAAAACTTTTAAATTCCTCTACCTGAGCAGCAGCCACTCCCTGTCCTGGGTACAGAGCATGTGAGCGGTTTTCAATTCAAAGGCCGGAGCGAGGATTTTGCTCCAGTTAGCTCCGATGCGCTCACAGTGTCATTAAAAAATGTTGATTATAAAATATTTAAAATATAATTTATTTGGTTTAAGTGTGATTTTATTCGACAATTAATAATTAAATAGGAAAGGCGGGGCAATATGAATGGAGCAAGGTGTTACCTTCACAGCTGGGAAACAGTGCGATAATTTAACAGCCAGTTAAATGAGACGATACACTGTGTGTCTCAGGGTCTTGGCATAATTATATGAACGAAAAATGTCAGAAAATGCCTTCTCCTGAAAAATTGAGCGAGCGTGGAGCGCTTTCGCCGGAGCTACAGTAAAATTAAGGTGAGCGCGGAGTGGATTTTGACTGGAGTGTCCTGACGCAACTTGAGTGGAGGAGCGAATGAGCGAACATCCTCCTGAGCGGGGAGCGGGAATGGCGCGGTGCTCTGCTCTATTTGCCTGATCCGTCCGTTCTGCGCATGTGTGAATAGATATACATCCAGGTGTCCATAAATAATGTAATTATGGTACTAAAACTACTAAAAATCCTTAACTCCCTAAAGAATACTAATACACATCTGTAAAAAAAAACATTTATGACTTTTGTGAGACAGTTTTTATGCTTTTTACATTTTCTTCGTTAAACTGCTTTTCTGACGTCATCATCAAACATGCTCAGAGCAGTCTGGTAACATAAAATTAAACCATGTTTATCTGCATTTTAGTTGTTTCTTTCTTTAGATTATGCACTTTATAGCATAAGGTTAAAACGAAACAAAAACATAAAACTCAAAGAGACTAAATTTATGTTTAAATCCAAAGCTGAAAAAGTTGGCCACTAGAAGTAGTGCAGGATCCCATTTCTGTTGCAGATCGGGCAGAGACAGAAAGGATTTTAAGGAATTTATTTTCTCAGGAAATACATTATTGACCTTTAACACATTATACTTTAGTACGTTTTGGGGAGGAAAACGTCATTTAGGTATTTTACAAAATAAGATTGAGGACAACCCGGATGTATGCAAATGAGCTGATGGTGCATGTGCAGAATGGATCGTGGTTCCGGGACGGATCGGGTAGTGACAATGTTCACATGCTCTGACTGGGTAACAGGTAGTGGTGATTATTGCCCATTCACAAAGCGCCTACCCTGACCGAGCTGTGCCTGCTCAGCAAACAACATGCCAACATTTTCTGATGTTAAACAGAGCGTGGCCATTTCTGCTAAAAGTTGAGATTAGCACCTTTTGGCACCTAATCTACACAGTAACAGCAATGTTAATCATTAGGCAAAGGTGGTGGTGGTGGGGGG